TACATTGTGCTCTCAGTCGTGGTCCGTTAGTAGAGCAGTCTCTTTGAAGGTTGTAAGTCCCGTGAATTCCCCTCAGTTCACGGGTTCGATCCCCCTCTGGTCCGTTAGTAGAGCAGTCTCTTTGAAAGTTGTAAGTCCCGTGAATTCCCCTCAGTTCACGGGTTTGATCCCCCTCTGGCTAGGTAGTGAGGGCAGTCCTAGAATATTTAGACACATGAGTATATATATATATATATATACATATATACAACATGTGTGTGTGTGTGTGTGTGCACGCGGGGGCGTGTGCGTGCGTGTGTGTGCCGCATACCTGGGTCTGTTAGTTGGCTTCCTCAATGTAAGAACTTAGGTCGTTGAATCCCCTCAGGCACAGTTGGCCTTAAGGAGGTAGTAGTCGAATTGTTAAGTGCATTAGAAGTGACTGAAAGCTCGTATAATGGCATCTGACCATTTCTTTTTTAAAAAAAATATGTGTTTGTTTGCCTATATTTGTCTTTGTAAAAATTGAATTATGTAAATTATCTTATTTGGTTATCTGGTCAAATTACTATGGTGAATTGTCCTGACCACATTCTCTCACAAGCTTAATGATTTGAATGACTTCTTCCCTTGAACCAATTCTAACAACCATTCGTCATACAAGCCACTTAAAAGTGTCCTTTTCTTGAGCTTGTGAAAAGTGAACACTGCAAATCTATAACACTAACAAAATGATTTGTCCACAACCCAAATATGCTAGATCCAAGTCCTAATGTAATGCTAAATATGCTTCCTTATTATGAAACTTAAAGATTATATATATATTACAAAAATATAAATTGAAGTAGCGTAAAGAATGCTCAAGTTCTCAAAATATTAATGACTTCAGGTGTTTCTCACCTATCCATATAAATCATATTATCAGAGTATTCAATTATTAGAATATCAATATGCATATATTGCACTTTTATCTTATCTTAAGGGATTTATTAAATAGTTCTAACATTCAAGATTTGAATTAAAATAGTTGTTCCTCTTCAAATGGGTAAGGAGAATGAATGGTGCATAGATCTATATGTTTGTACATCTTCAATAAAAGATCTATGAAATGCTTGTTGAAATACTACAATCGTCTTGCACCCTTTTTCTTTTGACTATACCAATAGGACATCACTTTTTTAAGAGTAATAAGAGATGGACTAGCATCATCTACCTTCTTAATTTCTTGGTCTATAGGTTTAATGGTAAAGGTATGGTCCTTTGTCCTCCACTTTTCCTTACACTTCATGCTCCTTTCATACCTTATCTTTAACTTATTTTTTTGGATGGCTTGATCAATAATAAGCACTACCATGCTCTCCTCATTACCCACCTAGTTCTCCCTTTTTAAAAAATTATGAATAAATAGGTCAAAAGCATTCAATCTTTCCTCTAATCTTATTTAAATGTTCTATAGCCTAATTTAGCCACTCCTCATTTCATATACATTAACCAAATATTAGTCTAACCCTTTATAAGAGAGTATAATTAACTTATAACTAAATATGTTTTTATAATCTTCCCCACTTTCATTTTAAAAATGGTGGTGCTTGCTTACCAGTGTAACTCTAGCTAGGATAAACATAATAAAACTTCATACAATGAGCTAACAAAAGTCTTCCTCATTAAATTTATAGATCAACATAAATGATGAACAATCATCTATAACAAACAAATTAAGAGTTATTGATCAAAAAAATAAGTTAACTATTTTGCATAATTTGAAATAATGCAGACACCTATATCCTTATGTGTTATTAAACACAAATAATATTTGGTCGTGCACACTTTATTACTCTTTAATTCATCATCCTTGGACATTTTTCCCATTGAATCTCACATTTCTCCTCCCTAGCTCTATATAGCATCATAATGTCAGTATTAAAGTAATGTTGCATATCAAGTAACAGTGTACTAGATTAGAGCATTATTTCCAAGGAATTGACCTCTTGGTATATTAAATATTTCTTCAGCACAATTAATATTTTCTTTCATGCCAGTCTATATCATAGGTATCCAAAAAATGTCTCCTCATCTTCAATGTAGTATAGATTCTTAGCAAAAATATCATTCTATTTATCATGATTAAGAAGAAAAACATTTATAAGGAAATACAATCTATAGAGAAATCTAGCCCAATATTTTACACATCATTTACATTGTGCTCTCCATAAAACCTTTCTATATATCAATATTTTTTAGGTTCCTTGCCCAATTTATGCAACTCTTGTGCATCCCACTGCTTTTACCTAAACTTCTCAAATCAAATTTCTTTAAATCATAAGTTAGTGGTCAAGGAAAATTTAATAACGCCTAAGATGATATTCTTCCCTCTAATATTAAACCCAATGGACCATCTCTGGTTCTTACCATCATTAAAAATTCTTAAAAATATTTGATGATTCAAAGTCCCAAAGAATAATATTTTAAGAGTTTTAAGGAAATTATCAAATGAAATCTCTTAGGATTACAAGTGAGATCATAAGTCTCAAATTATTAAATCATTTTTATATCACAGATTCACAGCATCAATGTATGTGAATTAAGCACTAAAATGCTTCTCTTTTAATATAATTATAGTGAACATCTCAATATATATAGCCAAAAAAATGAAGTAAAATAAAATATGACATCTTGATTAAACCATGACCAACTAATGATTGAAACAACTTCGATCATCTTTAAATTATGATCAAATCATCTTCAAATCATCCTCAAATTATAATCAAATCATGATTAGAAAAACCATCAATCAACATTCAAAGCGCATATGGACCATGATCAAATAACCTCCAAATCATATTTGAATACGCTTTATACAATGAGCATAACTTGATTAAACCACAATTAAAAGTGATCAAATAATCATTACACTGTTTTATATTAATGATTGAATCATGAACATTCATCTCATACATTTTTTATCACGATTGAATAATGGTTCAGTCATGGTTTTGATCAAAATTCAAATATTGTTCTAATCTTGATCAAAGATATTTTGAACATCATTTGATCATGATACAATCATTTTTAAAAAAATTATACAAATATACTTAAAGATTATTTAAACATGTTTTAATAATGATTCAAAGATGAAGGCAGTTCAAAAATAATTTTAATATGTTTGCATCAAATAGTTTAATATTTAGTGGTACTTAATCACATTGGTATTGACTGGTCATAGAAATCTCAAACCCTTGACTTCAACTCTCTACGCTTAAGGATCTATGGTCGTCTATCTCCAACATAACACTCTTCCCCACCCAAACTTTTCATCTTATCCTCCTAACCTTCTTTGGTCATCCAACTGTATTTTCCTATCCAAAATTTCATCATTTTCTTAGCTTAATCAGCATTAATTTTCCTTAAATAGCTAAGTCTAAACCTAAATTTCAACATTCTATTAGAAATGAAATAATAAAGGGCAATGATGTAGTTCCAGCAAACTATTTTTTAGAATTCATACATGTCATGCATGTGAAGAAGGTGAGCCCAATTTGGCAAAAATGGCAAGTTTATTAAATACAAGAATTCGGTGGTATGTATATAAATGCCCCAAAACAACATTTCCTGGTAAAAGGCTGAATGAATATCCAATTAAGTATGTATGATTAGACTAAATGCTAAAGCCAAAAGCTTACTTTGTTCAGAAATTTTAAAATACGGCAATTTCATTGCACTTGGAGATGATGAACTAATAAAGAAAAGATGAGACAGTAATCAAAGTAGCAGTGTACCGCTGCGCAATTCCACTGGCCCTGTTATAGTGGTGTTGCGAATCCTACAAAAATGAAAGAAAATAATTAAATCTCAATCAATAAAAAGCTCCAAAAATACGAAATTAATTTTTTTTTTCTACCTTACCAAATGGAGTAACAAAAAACAAATAAAGCCTTTCGAGGGGAAAAAATTGGCATGAATAAATGTTCATATGTTTGATTTATTATGATTCTTCCCTCTTAACTTTCAAATATAAATAACTAAAGCACTATAAATCAAACTTTCTTCTTGGACATTAGAGCGAATTTAATCACAAAATATATTCAAGGACTTAAAACCGAGATCTCCTGGTTGAAAGAAAAAACTCTAGATTGGAAAAGCAAACTGAAAACTCATGAATTTAATCACATGAGCAGTCAGAGTGAGGAGAATAAAACAGAGAACTCGTGAATTTTTTTAATGCAGAATCCACTTTTTCTAGATTAGATAAGCAAGTTATATGGAATGGCCGATTGATGCAGCCAAGTGCCACCAGAGGTTCTTTTGGAAGGGGTTTAGAACTGAGATAAGGAAAATCAAGCGCATGTGTGATTCCAGTAGAAGACCCAACATGTTTCATGATAGTATATGAGCCATAGTATCAACATCAAAGCTTGGCATATGATTGTTGGCGTCAAGGTCTGATGGTTGGATCTCCCGGCTCATATTGAATGTCCTGACAAAGTTTTCCGCTACAAATTTTCGTTTAAATTTTGGTTATATATCAGGTTTGGTGGAGAGCTCAAAAGGTATTATTGTGGTCCTGTAAGAGTGTGTCCAATGCTCCACCGTGGACTAGTTACTTCTGCCTGTCAGTTGGTCTCAAATGAGGAACAATGCTGTATTGGAGCTTAGTCTCCATTGCTTTGAATAATTCTTTCCAAAATAGATTGAGAAAGGTACAATCCCGGTCAAAGATGATGGTCATTAGTGGGACTTGTAGTTTGCATACCTCTGTGATTAAAAATATCAACTTTCGAGGCGCGATGTGCTCACAAGTAGCAAAATCTGTCTATTTAGCAAGTCAATCGATAACAACCATGATTGTTAGGTGACCGTGAAATTTGGGTAGGTGGATGATGAAATCCACTAACCATCAAAATGTCATCCCCGTGCTTCTTCAGAGATTGGGAAAAGTTAAATAAGACCTATTGGTGCTAGAGGTTGATACTCAGTGATTTGGCAGACTAGAAATCATTGGAAAGATTGCTGAACATCTTGTTGGATTTTTGGCCAATAAATATGAGTAGAAATCATTTTCAGCATTCAACGACATCCAGTATGAATGCCAAGAAGGTTGGAATGGAAATCACATAGGATTTGTTGGCGTAGAGCTGTAGTAGGCAGTCTTGAATGCGACAAGCTCTATATGTATCCAACAATGCTAGTATATTTTGCTGGAGCAAAATGATCATAGGGTCTAATGTTAATTTTGCTTGGAATTGGTTTAGGAGACTAAAAAGAGGTGGAAAATTAGCAGCATTAATATAATAGACGTGTACTTTGTGGTTTCAATGGTCTGAATTTTAATTTTGTTCAAAAAAGGTGTCATCTCCTTAGGCTATCGAAAGGCTTTTTTTTTTTTTTTTTTTTTTTTTGGTGTAGGAGATTAGTTACTGGTGCATCAATATGAATAAAGTATAATATCATACAAACATGCAGTAATATTTGAAGAGCCTAAGGAAGTTATAGTGTTGCCTTTGAGATATTAGCGTTGGTGTAGGTGTAGGCCAATGCTGCACAACTTCGTGTTTGGGCTTAATGAAAGTATAGCAATCACAATGTGTTGTAAAGTAGTTGATCTTGAGACGACCAAACAAGCATGTTGATCGTTTGAGGTAGATGTCATTGTAGAGTAAGCGATAGACGTTGACAAGCACGTGGATGAGAAGGGTAGACAACGAAATGTTAAATGATAGTATGTCATCAAAGAAAACAATCACAAATTTACATAATTAAGGTTCAAGCATATTATTCACAGCACTTGGGAATGTAATGGCGGCATTTGAGAATCCAAAGAGAATGATAAGTTCAGTAGTCATTTGTGCAAAACGATTTTCAAAAGGCTAGTATCAGCCATCCGAATTTGGTAATATCCAAAATTAAGGTCCAATTTTGTGGTGGGTTGTGCTGTGGAGCTCATTGAAAAGTTCATCCACAATTGGGCTAAGAAAGTGGTTAGGAATAGTTTCCTATTTCAAGGCACTATGATAGATACAAAAATGCAACATATCATCCTTATTTATAAGTAATATTAAAGAAGAGAGAGTTTAAAGTTGGGCAACAAAGTTGTAAGAAGATACAGTGATCTTCCGGCCTTAGAGGTGGTAAGCTTTTCGGTTGTTGAAAGAGTTTAGTGAAATCTTGAAGCAAAGTTGTGAGGGCTAACAGAGTGGCATATAACTAAGGGGATGGAACCAAGCTGCGTGTGGGTAATGCAATTTAGTTCAAAAGGGAATGAAATTGGGCCAAAAGCTTGTAGTTTGATTTAATTCAATTGGACACTTCTACGGGTTAGGAATTCATACATTGTAATTCAACAAGATTATTGTTCTAGAGGATCATGGATAAAGTGTTATAGTTGTTTGGATGTGATGCTGCCAAAGAGTAGGAACCCCTTGACTCCAAACACCACATAGCAGCATGAATGAGAAGGACATAGAGGCCAAAAATCATGTCATGATTATAACCAACTTTGCCTGGTTTGCATTAGGTTTCCTAAGAGCACACAAGTATTATAGTGTCATGTTGCAAAACAAAGAAAAAAACCAGTAAGGTAACAAATTGTAATGCCAAAATTAGTTTAGTGGCACCAATATCATGAGGGTTGGACGACTAGAAAAAACCCAAGATCATAAGTAGGATAGTATTTCTTAGCCTTATTAAAATTTTCACAAAAAAAAAAGGTGGGATGGTTTTCTAGGCTAAGAAAGCCACCAACGCCAACTGTAGAGGTTTCACGAGTTATTTTAATTAGTTTGGAAAAAAAAGATAGGTGAAAGACACGAGCATTGGTTATTTTCAATAATATTAGTCTAAAGACAAATTCAATTAAATATGACAAGTAGAATGTATCTTTCTGACATCAATCAATAAAGCCTAGATCACAGGATAAGTGATATAAAATGACTTGAATTTGGCAAATGTAAGAGAAACTTCTTTAGTTGAAATGATGAACCCAGGAAAGGGAATAATAAGTTAAATAAAAGTGCACTTCCTTATATGTTTATATGGTTTTTAAAAGCATAGGGTGTCCTAAATTAGATACACAAGGATCAAATGATCAATCTTAGTGGTTTTGTAGCTCTAAGATGATATAAAAGTAGCGCAAGAAATTTGCTGAGGACAAGGGACTTAGTTCATGACTCACATAAAGATGCTTGGTGTATTGCCAAATACTTATCCAATCATTCATAATTTTTAAAAGCAATTTTCCACTAATCCTTGGTATAAATCATGATCAAGTGGTAGCTAATTTGTAAATTAAATTTACTAAAAAAAGTGGATCGGTTAGCTTGTACAACATATCAGAAAAGTATAGCATAATAGAATAACACTTCATTGAGATCTTGCTAATGGTCCCGTCTATTGATACATACATAACCAGCTCTCATACATCTTAAGAGTATGGAGGGCAAGGACGAACTTGGGGAAAATAACTTCCCTATCGACCCTTTAATAAGGCGATTCACAAACTTTTTTCTTACGTTCAAAATGCCCCTGAGGTTCTTTCTATAGCGAGAAAGGTTTGTTAACTATACATCAGAGAATAAATCAATAACATGTAGGATGTGTTGCATTAGAGGGGGATTGTTCTTCTTGATTTAAATCAAAGAAACATGCTAATAAATAAATATTAGAAGCCCATGACGAGTGTCCTTAAAGGTAAGTTGAACTTCATGGGACAACAAGGAAATAATTAAGCCAGATTAATAGAAGCTAAGAAAAAATGGCCTCAAAGAACAAAGTTTTGCCTAAGGTGTGAATCGAATAATGTTCAACATGCTCAGTTTCCTATCAATGAGATGGAAGGTAAAATATGAATGGTAAAGTTTTTGTGTTTGAAAATATTATGTGTTATGATGCCTCTAATGGGTGACATCCAAATAAAAAACTATGAACATCCTATTAGATACTAGCTACATACATAGAACATTACAATAAATGTGATCACAATAGCTGCCTAACTAGTTCAAGACAAAAAAAAATGTTTGGTGTTAAGAATGATGATTTTACTGACACAAGGGACCTTATAGAATTAGGAATATAATTCATTTGTCATTTGAGGATATGCTAATATCAAGAATGAATATAGCATTCATGGAGCTCCACCATTATATACTATTCCATAACAGGTGGCATAAGTGTGAAGATAGGCATTCGTTGCCAATCTTACCTAATATCTGAGGTGGATCATTACCAGATAAAATTTAATTAGGTGCTCGTTACCTGAATAAGGATCAATGTGCCCAATTTATAGTTTCATAATTTCAAAGACAAGGATATAGTGGGAAAGCAATGAGATAGGTGTTCTGGCTTATGAAATTTGAAGCAAAAATAGATGCTTGTTGGTTTGCATTGTATGTGCGCCAACAGGACCAAATGTACATTGTTCTGTGATGATCAGAGAAGCATTGGTAACCTTTTTAAGTGCAAGAGAAGAATTAAGTCTAGAACCCCTAAGGGTAGAAGCGTCAATTGTCTCAAAAATTATTCGATTTCCTAAAATAGTAGCCAAGTTTATCTCTCTCAACCAAAGTTGTTTTGAGGATCGCCAACTTCAAAAGCTATATTTCTAATCTGAGAATTGTTAAAGGTATCTCGGAAGTGTGAATCACCAAAGAAGAAACTGGCTCATTTAGTTTTTCCCATATGAATGCTTTGTTAACTCTTCTCTCAGGCTCAACTAGAAAAAAATTCTTCAACTTGACGACCTTAATTAATTCTTCAATTAAATTTAAAGGTGCCAACAATTCTTATTATCATGCGCATGATCTTTATAAAACACACAATAGTTTGCGA